CCTAGTTGGGTCATGAAATGTCTACAAGAAAACCAAGCTCCACACTGAGGACGCTCAGTCCCTGTAGAATAACACTGATAGGAAATCCCTCTTTACTTCCAGGTTGCGTCTCTCCTTGATTAAGGATAGAATAGAACAACAAGAGTTGGAAGGGACTTTGGAGGTCTTCTAGTCCAACCCCCTGCTTAGGCAGGAAACCCTACACCACTTTAGACAAATAGTTAGCCAACATCTTCTTAAAAACTTCCAGTGTTGGAGCATTCACAACTTCTGGAGGCAAGTTGTTCCACTGATTAATTGTTCTCACTGTCAGGAAATTTCTCCTTAGTTCTAGGTTGCTTCTCTCCTTGATTAGTTTCCATCCATTGCTTCTTGTCCTGCCTTCAGGTGGTTTGGAGAATAGCTTGACTCCCTCTTCTTTGTGGCAGCCCCTGAGATATTGGAAGAATGCTATCAGGTCTCCCCTAGTCCTTCTTTTCATCAAACTAGACATAACCAGTTCCTGCAACCGTTCTTTATATGTTTTAGCCTCCAGTCCCCTCATCATCTTGGTTCCTCTTCTCTGCACCCTTTCTAGAGTGGACAAGCTCTTGCACTCTTTTTGAACAAGTGGACAAGTGTTACAGTTGAGCAGTAATATCACGTTTTAAGCCCACGGTCTTCCTTTCTTTGCCCGTAAGCAATCTGATCAAAACCTGCGTTCTGTCCCAGCGCAAAAAAAAAATGCTAATGGGAAAACCCCATTATTTTATTGTCAAAATAGCACAAAAACGGTTTTTAAAAACGATGGCAACCTGCTGGACTCTTTTCAAAAGCCCACAGCTGAAGGCGCTCCTTCCTTCCTTGCACACCGCACACTCCCTTCTCAATTATGCAACAGTTTTGAAAAATTGACTCGCAACCGCCTCAAGGAATCTCCCTTCTTTCTCATGACATAAGAAAGGCAGGAGACAAAGAGGCCCGAGCGTGACGCCATATTTTGTGGAGAACCTCGGAGCTAAGCTAAGACAGACACAAGTGGAGGGGACAGGGGGAGGGCAGACCAGGATACAAAAAAACTGGACTGCTGTTAATTTTCTAGGAAGAGAGGAAGGCTGATGAATTGCATGCATCCAAGCATTTTCCCCTTCCCTGCCACCATCTTTCTGGAATCATCATCCGAAGCCACACTTGGGTTCAGGGTTGGAAGGGACCTTGGAGGTCATCTAGTCCAACCCCCTGCTCACACAGGAAACATATACTAGGGATTTGAACCGCCAAAAATTGCCAACCTTTCTGATTGACTTAGAGGCCATGGAGGAACCCTAGAACAAGAGGAGGGTGGTACTTTCATTTCCACCAAGTTGCAGCCCCCCTAAACCTTGGCTTTTCTTCCCAAACCTCATCCAAGCAATTTCCACCAAACTGTAATTTGCAAAATGTCAGAAGAAGCAGTGTGTGTGTGAGAGAGAAAGAGAGAGAGAGAGGATGAAATGTATAGATAACAATTGTATTAATTCTAAGGTAAATACAGGTGGTCCTCGACTTACGACCACAATTGAGCCCAACATGTCTGTTGCTAAGCAAGATAGTTGTTAAGTGAGCTTTGCTTTCATTTTACAACCTTTCTGGCCACATGTGTTAAGTGAATCACTGCAGTTGTTAAATTAGTGACACGGTTGTTAAGTGGAATCTGGTTTTCCCATTGCATTTGCTCATCAGAAGGACGCAAAAGGGGATTAGGTGACACCCCGGGATGGTGGGACCATCCTAAATATGAGCCAGTTGCCAAGAAGTGTAAGAATTTTGATCATGTGACCCGGGGGTACTGCAATGGTCATAAGCAGTGGTGAAATTCAGCTGGTTCTATCCGGATCACACGATCCGGTAGCGCCAGCGGCGGGAGGCTCCGCCCACCCACCCGGACCTCACCACCAGTTTCTACCGGTTCTACATGGTTCAGGCAAACTGGTAGCGGCGGCAACGGTTGGCTCCACCCACTCACCCAGAGGTCATCACAGACACTCTGCAACCGCTCACATTTGCGAACTGGTAGCAAAGGTAAGTGAATGCCACCCCGGTCATAAGTATAAAAAAACAGTTATACGTCACTTTATTCGGTGCTGTTGTAACTTCAGACAATCACTAAATGAACTGTTTTTAAGTCAAGGACGACCTGTATGAACTCTTGTTGAATTTCTACATGCCTCTTTTGCCTGGCCCCACAAACCTTAAGATAGAAGTCCAAGATTTCCCATTGAAGAGCCTGTGACGATCCTTGTTTTAAAGAAGGCTCCCCACACTTAGTGTATAACGTATAGGAATTCAGCCGAGCCTGCCTACGTTCAGCACCAGAATTAAAACCAATTCAACAGCCACTTAGCTTGATACACTGGCAAATATTTAGAATGCAGAAATTAAAGTTTTATGTCTATTGGCTAACCACGCTCAGCCCCTCACGAACCCGTTAGGGATAAAATAATGGAACTGTACATTTTCTCTCAGTCATGATTTTCTGCTGTCCAGGACTGAATAAAGGAAAACAGAGATGCAAACATTCAGTCATGATTCGGACATAAGTAATATTTCTTATTTTAAAAAATCAGGTGCCGGGAGAGGACAGGGGAACACATTCTGATTCCATCCTCTGTGCTATGATAAAAGACCATATTTCGATTTTCCCCAGAAGTTAGTTTTGGAGAATATTATCGAGACTTTGTCAAATGAGAACTACCATCCGGTGGAATTCAGTTATGTATTTGGCTCAGAATTAAGCCGTATCACTTGATCTGTTCAAGTTCACTCCCGAATAAATTGTACAGAGGTGGTCTGAAATTGTATTTCCAGTATTCTCTTTGTGTCTTGTTCTCTCATGCAGCAAATAGCTGTCAGATGTTTTCTGGCTGACCTAGTTTGCGATAATGACACCCTATCCCTTATCCCGCCCCACCCACCAAATTAAAGTTTGAAACAAACTTCGTGAAGGATTTCTATATATTTTTTTTAAAACATATGGAATCCAAAGGGAACCTGTACGTATTGAAACTATGTGTTTGGGATGGATGTTGGAGATAGCAGCCACAGTATTTTGCTGAGAAAATACACTTCTCGAAATTCTGTAGGCACCAGGGAGTGGAAAAGGTAGAAGAGGGTGCATTTTTTTTCACACTCATGGGACTATGTTTTCCTTTACACTGATGACATGCTCTAAAAGATATTTGGACTGGAATCCAAATATCACAAATTGTGCAATCCCGAAATCTTTTGGACATCAGTATCCTAAATGCAAAACACAGCAGATGGCGGCACTTAGTTAACCTGGCCAATCTCCCAAAAACTAAGCAGGGTTATATCTGATTAGTACCTGGGTAGAAGACCACCAGACAACCCAAAAGCTGGGAAGAAAATAATAATCCCAGAAAGCAAATCATTTCCCTATTGCTCTCCTCAAATTAACACAGCCATGGCCATGAAGTCACCCGGGCTTGATCTTGACTTTTCATCTTTCTCTTAACGCAGTGTTTCTCAACCTTGGAAGCTTGAAGATGGGTGGACTTCAACTCCCAGAATCCCCCAGCCAGCGCTGCTGGCTGGGGGATTCTGGGAGTTGAAGTCCACCCATCTTCAAGCTACCAAGGTTGAGAAACACTGTCTTAACGGAAGCTGACTGCACCGTCTTTTCTTCTCGTGCATCTTGCATGCAAACAGAAAACCAACCTTCAGGTTTATAGTTCATAAAATGACACTTTAAAAAAAGTAAAAACAACGGAAGGCCTTTTAGTCTAATAGCCTAGGAAATGAAAGCATGTGCCACATGGACTAATAAGCGTGGCACACCCCAAACTCATGCAGTGCGATTTCACACCGTCCATCGAGATGTATAATTTACCACGGCGAGCACATTAAAGGAAAAAGTCAGGTGGGGGAAAAAAAAAAGAAAAAGAAATGCAGGGAGTTGCATGTTTGGAACGGGCATGTTTTAACTATACCAAAGTCTTCCTTTCTCCCACCCTCTTTGCTCGGATGTGGAGAGAGAGATGCCAACTACGTGATCGGCAACAAGCAACTCCTTGTGCCTCTTGGTCAAAATTACACCTGTCGGGAGAGCAACTAGGAAAGCGGGAGGAGGGAAACCACACCGCCTCGCACTGTCTGTCGGCAACGGCACACAATGTCTGGGACCAATGGGGAGGGGTGGTGGGGAATGTGGGGAGACTCCATCAAACCCTACGGACAAGTTGCCCCGAAGAATTCCCTTAGCAAGCTTTCACCCTCTCCTGTCTCCATCACACTCTCCATATATGGCCATGGCTGAACTGTCCGTGGTGCTGATCGCTCGTCACCTAGGAGGTTTGGTCTCCAAGAGAGAAAGCGATGGGGTGGCTGGGCAAGAAAAGCCAGGCTGCCAGCCAACATGCCACGGATTTAGGAAACGAGGGTTGCCAATCCTTCCATCACATTAAAATAAAATTTTAAAAAATTCCTCCCAAACTAAATACAGCAGCTGCAGCCTTATAGAGCTAAGCTGCATTGTGTCACCTGTTTGTGATATAGCAAAAGGCTAATCAGGACATTGAAAACAGAAAGACACCCCCCCCCCCACCCACCCACCCACCCCGAGAGGGAGAGGAGGACCACCTGCACAGCGGCTCATGACACCAAGCAATGGCTAAAGGGGAGGGGGAAGTTGCATTCGGAAAGCTCCCCAGTATCACCAACAGTCCACGCTTCCATTAGTTCCCAGTCAAGAGGCACTTCCAGGTTGAAGAGCCTTTTCATTGAGCTGGGTCTCCCAGCCAGCTCACTTGTGTGAGGCAGCACATGAGCCCATCTCCCTCCTCCTCCCCTCACCCCAGCTCTTCTCCCAAAAGCAGAGAAACTCTGCATGCAATCGACACACACCCCAAAAAGACCCAGAGATTGGGGGAAGGGGCAGAACAATGCCTCCTGGTCCGAGTGCCCAGGTTAGCCAGGGAGACGGAATCGGTAAGCAAGGTTGCACGAGAGAAAAAGAGCCTTACCTTTCATCCAGTCCACTACTTGCTTCGGCGTCCACTTGCTAATAGGTTCCATAACAAGGGCCATCATCAGACGGTGTCATTCACACCAGGAGGAGGGGGAAACTGACGATGGGGGGTTGGGGAGGGGGGAGAAGAGAGAAGTGGGGAGCAAGAAAGAAAGATTTAAAAAAAGAGGGAGAGAAATGGTGGGTGAGTGAATGAGTGGGTGGGTGGGTGAGAGGTGAAGGAAATGCCCAAATGTCTCAGAGCATGGCTGGAGAAGACAGCGTGAGGATTTCACAATGCAGTCCGAGGATGAGTTGATGCTTTGTCGCTCCAGGTTCTTCCTGCACTGATTCAGTAATGTATAAAATTATTCTGCCTGATCAGTTTTAGCACCTCCCCTGCCGCACACAGCCAGCAACCCTCTGGAGCTCAGTGAATCAGGAAATGGTGCAGTATGTCTCTACTTACTTACGTTCCCCCCACCCTCCACCACCAAAAAAAAAAAAAAAAAGGCAGTCCCTCTACACCCAATGATCTACTTATTAAGGCTGGCACAAATATGAAATTACAGGGCACCCTCTTGCCAACGAGACTCTCTTCCCCTTTCTATGTCAAGCCTGAAGATCTGGGTTCTGTTTCTTAAAAAAAAAAACCCAACGAAACCCAACCAACCCACAAATATTATGGCTGTTGTTATTATTATTTGCTTAGATCATGGGTTGAGAGGGAAGGTAGGAGGGAAGTGGAAGACAGGGGGAGGTGGGGGTGGGAGAGAGAGAAAGAGAGAGAATATAAATAGAATGAAATTGCTAACTGGAACTTGATAGCAGATTGTCTCTCAGTTCAGCAGCACACCAAAAAAAAACCACACACACACAAAAAAACTGCTGAATGTCACGGATGGATTCAAAGAAAGCATGCTAGCGTTTGGCAGCTGGCAAGAGAGAACGAGAGAGTGAGATGCGGAGCTTTTTTCCTATTCCCAATCATGCAGCATGTCCCTGGAATCTCTAATTGTGGAAGTCAGAGTGTCACGTGCCGAAAGGCTAAGGCTCCCACATGTCTGTCCTTCCCCAGGATCGGACTCCCATTGTCCTCCTGTGTCGGGCTCGGCAGATGGGAAGACGTCAGTCCTCGCTCCCTTCCTTCCCCTCGCTTTCCCTAGCATTGGCTGTGAACTGTCATGGAATCAACCCCGATTCCAACACCAAGCAGCTTGTTTCGTTCCTTGTGAGATCCCTTGGGTTCACACTGTCAAATGGGGCTGAAGCGAAACTTTGGGAAAGGAGAGAGAGAGAGAGAGAGAATGCTAAAAGCGGAGAAGAGCGGTTGGAGGGCTGGGGTCATCGCTTCGGTAGGTGTGTTCCCGCTTGCCCTATGGGAATTCTCCATATTTCACCGAACAGATGTTCTCAATCATGAGCTTAAGCAAGTACATGGCCTGAGATGATCTGCTTTTCATTGTCCAAGCTCTGTGGTCACGAGATAACTCCCCTGCCAGGAACCACACCGTCATTTCTACTTATGGAATAGCTATTTCTGAATTTTGCCTGCCCTGTCTCTCTTCCCCCCCACCTCCCGAGGGTGGTTCAGGGACATCGATATTTCTTAGGTGACCGATGTACTGGACCATACAAAGGTGGCTCCAGACATCATCTGCTAAGGAAACAACGACAGAGAATTCTGTGGGACCTTAACCCAAATTGTGTAAAAAAAGGATTACAAATGTATAAGGAAATACAAACACGAAAGCTTTTGATTGGGGCGTGCAAACCAGCACCTGCATTTCCTGCATCGGATGAGGAGAGCACAACTTTCTCCTTCTATCCTGGCCACTTTTGACATGATTGAAAACATTTTAACAAACTGCATTGCTGTGTGTGTTGAGCAGTTGAGCAGTGCCTAAGATAGAAAGTCCATACAGAGAGTGGTGAGGACAGTGGAGAAGATTATAGGAAGCTCACTTCCCATTATTCAGGATACTGCTTATAAGTGCTATGTGCTTAGAGCTCGAAGCATGGTTAGAGACCCCACACACCCACTTCACGGTCTGTTTCTGTTGCTCCCCTTTGGGAGGAGGTTTTGAAGTATTTCTAGCAGGACTTCCAGATTCTATAATAGCTTTGTTCCCGATGCCATCCATCTGGTAAACCCGCAAGATTCATTTTTCTTGCCATGTACATGTATACATCTGAACTAGACTGTGTGGTTTCTCTGTGTCATATAATATATGTGGGTGTATGCATAATTTTGTATTTATTTATTTTGTCATGTTTATGTAGTGTATATTAGACCCTTTGAGAGCTGTATGCAATGAAATTTCATTTTAATGTATGCCGATTAGTGTACATTTAAAGTGACAATAAAGTTATTCTAAGTCTAAGACTGGGAGCACTAAGGGCAATTGCCCCAGACGTCATACAGATAGACCACGGCTTACAAAGGTTTGTTCAGTGACCATTCAAAGTTACAACGGCAGTGAAAAAAGTGACTTATGATTGTTTTTCACACAACCATTGCAGAATCCCCATAGTCATATGATCAAATATTCAGGTGCTTGGCAACTGACTCATATTTCTGACAGTCTCAGTGTCCTGGGCTTTTGTGACCTTCTGACAAGCAAAGTCAATGGGGCAGCCAAATTTACTTAACAACTAATAACTGCAGTGATTCACTTAACAACGGTGGCAGGAAAGGTTGCAAAGCGGGGCAAAAATCACTTAACAACTTTCTCGCTTAGTAATATAAATTTTGGGTTCAGTTGTAGCCGTAAGTCAAGGACTACTTACCGTATATATCAGTGATGGCAAACTTTTTCGGCACCGAGTGCCAAAAAGGTTGCATGGCAACATTGCACTCATGCACTCGTCGGGGCCGCACTCCAGAAAAGCCAAATTTCCAGGTTCTAGCACACATGCATACCTGACGATCAGCTGGCCAGCACACATGTGCAGGCCAGTTTTTTGCACTGCTGTGCGTGTGAAGGGATCACGCTCCGGAAAAGCCAAACTTCCTGGTTCTGGCACCCATGTGCACCCGACAATCAGCTGGCCAGCACGCATGCGCACATCGGCTTTCGGCACTGCCACGCACGCGAAGGACAGCTGATTGTGTGTGTGTATGCATGTCAGAAACCCAGAAGTCAAACAGGCATGGCTGCGCATGCCGGGCGACATGGCTTCACATGCCACTTTGGCCATGCATGCCATAGGTTCGCCGTCACGGGTATATATGAAAGGGCTCCCATCCAAAATATTTTTGAACATCTGAAATGGTCAGAGGGAAAGGTCATTTTCTTGCTGGTCTGAAAACTAATGAATTTATTTATCACCATAAGAATTCTTTCAGCATTCCGTTTTTCTCCACACATCTCCAGTTTAGTGGCCCATTGATGGACCAACCAAAAGAAGAGTTATGTTTGCGTAGTGCAAGAGGAAGAAGATAGAAGGGTTACAGTAAGGAACATTTCTCAGAACTTAAAGGTAAAGGTAAAGGTTCCCCTCACACATATGTGCTAGTTGTTCCTGACTCTAGGGGGCGGTGCTCATCTCCGTTTCAAAGCCGAAGAGCCAGCGCTGTCTGAAGACGTCTCCATGATCATGTGGCTGGCATGACTAAATGCCAAAAGCACATGGAATGCTGTTACCTTCCCACAAAGGTGGTCCCTGTTTTTCTACTTGCATTTTTTATGTGCTTTCAAACTGCTAGGTCGGCAGAAGCTGGGACAAGTAACGGGAGCTCACCCCGTTACGCGGGACTAGGGATTCGAACCGCTAAACTGCCAACCTTTCTATTGACAAGCTCAGCATCTTAGCCACCGCATCCCAGAGGTTAGTTATGTAAAAAAACCAGCCCATTCTTGGCCCACTCCAAAGCCAGAAAGTACAAACTATTTTTAAAAATCCATTAAATCATATAAAAGGCGGTTAGAAGAAGAATCAGACTTAAACTGCAGTGAATGTAAAAGGAGGCAGCAATCTTACGTTGACAGAGCAATCAACTGTTTAAAGGTGCTTCATCCTAGCATGAGATAAAGATACTTATTTAACCTTACAGTGTTGAGTGTCTAGGAAGGCCAATTTCTCCTATCCACAAAGCAATTCCATGTCCTCCAGATAAGGTGTCTACTGCCTATACTATCACTCAGCCTTCTTGACTGTTGGCCAAATTGGCGGAGGCTGATGAAGTTGAAATCCAAGACATCGAAAAGGTGCCAAGTTAGTGGAAGCTGAAACTTAACCACCAATGGAAGTGAATTCAGTAAAGTTTTAGCTCAAGCAAATATTGAGGAAGGTTTTTGGACGGAAGCTGGAAAAACCTGAATGAAGTTACGGTAACTCTGATAGTTTTTGCACATTTTAGAGAGCCAAAATTTGCAGAGTAAGAATGACAGTAACCTCATCGACCTTTGAATCCCAGAGTTTGGATGTGTTGTGACCTAGGCCCAAGTAGTTATTACCAGACACAATCAGTCCTAAACAAACTTATTCTATTACAACAGCTCGGAATTACTTCAATCTCAACTTAGTCCAATTTAAGTCCAAAACAAATTCTTTGTAAACAGTCCTTCGGCCTTATCACCAACCTTTGTCTACTTTGGCACCCTGCCAAAGGCTTTTCTTGGCAAAGGTTCAGAAGCAAGAGATGCTGACAAGAACAAATGTAGCAACGTTACTTTCCTACAAAGTTCTCAAGAGCCATTGCTGCTCTTTTAAGCCTTCTGGAAGGGGCCAATCGTCTCCTGGCCTTACTCCCAAGTCGTCCTTTTTGCTTTAGCTGCTCTTGCCTTCTGGCAGCTCTTCGCATGCATGCACTAGGAACAGGCTCCTCCTGTTCCTCTGCCTCTCTGCTATCCACCTCTGGAGGCTCCAGAGTCCATGCATCACTCCCAGATGGCCTTGGCCCCATCTGTGCCTCCGACGCAGAGCCCTTGTCTGGGCCTTTCCCAGACTCCAGGACTGGCCCATGGTCCTCCTCAGCCTCCTCACTGTCTGACTCCATTACCAGCTCCGCAGGCTGCTGGCGGACCACAACAGGATGCATGCATGATGGATCCTGCTAAAAGGGAAAGGATGGGGTTGCAATGGATGGTAGTTTACCAGGAACTTTCAAGGCCATTACTATCCCATTAATAAGGAATCACTGATCCATATAAATAGATCTAGAGCAAAGTCAGTGTTGGATTTAACAATCTGCTTCATGGGTTGTTGCTATGGACTTAAAATAAGAGAAGTATACTATATTTACCATTTTAAGTGCTTGAAGAAAAGTCAGGCCATAAATAAATGAGTAAGTCAAGAGTAGGTTCATGCAGAATGATAACACTCAGTAGTTCTTCCTCCTAAACATAGTTCCCATTAACAGGATCAATACAGTGGCATAAATTGGGTTACACTTATAGCTTAGTGACTGAGATTTAACAGATTAACAGAGCTGGAAGGGACCTTGTAAGTCATCTAGTCCAACCCCCTGCCCAAGCAGGAGACCCTACACCATTTCTGAGAGATGGCAGTCCAGTCTTTTCAT